GAGCTTCAGGTCGGTGTGTATGCGTTTGTCAATCCCGTGTGGTGCCTCAAGCCGCCCCTGCCCTCCCCACTCAGTGGAGCCGTTCTGCAGCACCACACCGAGCTCGTCGTCGACTATAGCAACACTCGGCAGAGAATCTTCTGGGAGACGATGTCCCCGCAGACGGCGTACGAGCTCGGGAAACAAATGATCAACTTGAAGTGTCTCGTCCATCGCTATCCACGTACAGCTGACTGGGCAGATGGCCACCATGCCGCAGTGGTTACATGGTGCCTGGGGCTCGTCATCGGGCTTGTGGAGGGTCATGTGTCGGGACGACAGGCGGCGAGAGAGAAGGAGGGTCCGGGGACCACGATGAGTGAGGGCTCGTTACAAATATTGGTCTTCGAGGGGAAGGTGATTCCAGACCTTCTGCTTCCTGAGGCTGAGCGACTTAGCCGTATCAATTACATCCCTCTTGCTGCCCCCCCTTCTCGTTTTGTCGATCTTCCGGCTCTCACGGATGTTGTAGGACTTATCCACGAAGCCGACCACTCTGATCACTCCATCATCGATGACCGGAATTGGGTTATGGGAGCCCTCCAGCGCTTGTCTGAGTTGAGCACATTCGACGTGACAAACCTTTGGCCATATCTTTTGGTGACGCGGTCGCTTGTCGAACTGAACGCGGTGTTTCCTATGGCGCCATCGCAGCTGGCTTGGCTGCTACACTGGATCGAGACGGGGGAGCCGGGGAGTCCGGGGCCTCTTGCGTACCTCCGGGTGATTATTAGCATCAAACTCTGTGGGATTGCATCGACCGATCTCAGAGACGGCCTACAAGACCTTCAGGTGGCTCCAAAAGGAAAGAGGAAACGATGCCACGCTTGTCTTCTGGTTTCAGAAATGTTTGGTCGATCGTGGCTGCTCGAAGTCGCTCGATTACCTGTGTTTCATCGTGGATCGCAGCGACTGCCATTCGCTGATCCTCAACGACTATGCGACGTTCAAGGCCCTCGCCACATTCATCGACGCGACCTGCTCGCCATCCGGCGATGTCGTCTTTTCTCTTGGCTTTCCTACCGACGACGTGGGAGACATCCCTCTCGCCCACCTTCTAGCATACACGCGATTCGGCAAGGTGCCTAGCTGCGGTCTGCCGATCCTCAATACCTTGCTGACACATCACAACTTGTGTATGAAGCCCGAAGAGGATTGGCCTGAGCCACCCTACGATTGTCCTTCGATTGAGAGCTACACGCAGCCAGCGCCACCTTCCGCATTCCACTATGTTTGGACGGTCACAGAAGACCATGTTGCCAGACCACAGAACGGCCCCATCGATCTCAGCCTGATGGAGGAGCTGACATTAGGAGGCTGTGGGAATGGGCATGCGGATTGCATTTTTTGCATCGAGTGTGCTGAGGGTTTCTCTCCGCCAGCGGATGCCATCCCACCTGAGCCTCCGGAGCTGAGAGCACTCAGCCCATCTGGACTTGAGGGGGTGAAGGCTCTGATCGTCAAGCACCGTATGGGGCTTGGAGTGGCTAAGATGGTCCTGACAAAGGGTGCGCACTTAGAGAGCCTGGTGCTGATGGACATGGGCGCGATGGACGTGCTGGCTCTGCTGGAGGGAATTTCCTCCGTGCAGATGCCGCAGAGGCTGAAGCTTGACTCCTTGCGGGCACAAGATGGAGAGATTCAACAGCAAGTGGCCCAGCTGGACAGCGCATATGCGTTGATCGTCAACAAGAAGCTGCAAGGGGTGAAGGAGCTCATGGCCAAGGGAGAGGTGGCGATACGACTAGTGGCAAGGCTGAAACGGCACATGCCATCACTGGATATGCTCACAGTGTGCGGCAGCGAGACAGAGATGCGTCAGGCGCTCATGGCCGGAGATCGTGGTGCGATCAACCGGCTGTCTCTCGGCTTCATGTCTCTGACTAGGAATCCCGCTCGTCTCATCCATGAGTTCATCAAGGCCGAGGACGAGAGGGAAGGGATCACACTGGGCGATTGGAAGGACCAACTGCCCTCAATCAAGAGCATACTCATGCACTTGGATGGTAAGTGGCGAAGAAATGGAGAAGAATCAACTTGCTGACCAAGTTGCACCTCTGTGTCTCGCTGGTTTTCAGTGCCGTCGGCCCACATTGTCGATCCAGGCGCCTTCATTCTGGGGAGCATTTGGTCGCTTCTTGAGATCGAGTCCATCACTGAGCTGATAGTGGTCCTGCCCCAACATTCCCATCTGGATGCCCTCAAGCTGGCCGTCGAGAGGCGATTCGGGCCTGATCAGATCTTGGATCAGATGGGCGGCATGGTGAGGGCAATGACGAATCGCAAGTACCTTGTTTTGACGAGTAACGACATCCAAGCGGTAGGCCTTGGTCGTATTGGCATGGAAGGTATCAGGAAACTATACCGTTCGTCTTTTCTGTGTCTCCATTGCCCAGATGCGGAAGGCAGCATTTGCCTGCTCCCATAGCACTGCCTGCCCTTCGGCCCAGTTGCATGGATACCTCCCCTCTCTTGCTGCGCTTGCTACTGAGGCCTCGACGGACATACTGGCTTGTGACTTCGCCGGCCGCATTAGTGCTGCCACGCCCATGACTGTGATCGACCCCCCATATGCTCCTCGGTGTCTGAAGGCGCCACTCCTTGCAGCGATGGAGAGACACGGCCTGGCGATGGAGCCCATGATGCGGCTTCATGGCGATGGGCCGGGCATCCCCAGTCCCTCTGTGATCGCATCCGCCGCTCAGCTAATGGCCGTACTACGGAAGACGGGCAAAGACATCACAGGCATCCAGCCGCTCTACAAGTAAGAGAAACACCAAGTGGATAGTCTGGCCCCTGAGGCGTCTGATTTTGTTCTCTCGTTCTCCTCTCGTGTGTATGCATGTAGGGCGACGGTGCACGGCTTTGCGTACACTGACATGCTCTGTCGTGTTGGCCATGCGACCCCCCTGCTGTTCCTCGTCCGCGCGAATGGAGACACACACGGCTTCTTCATCGACACCAGCCTGCGGCCCCCTCCCCAGATTCGAACGGCGCTTGGCGTTATCTTCATGGCCTCCGGATCCTCCCAGCCCGCCTTTGCGTCCTCCCTGATGTCGACGCGGGTGATTGCGGAAGCCGCCGCCCCAAACGATAGGGCAGTGGGCCCTCAGCTCGTGGTCGGCAGGCAAGGGGCGGACTGGCTGTGCCTGTGGGAGCTGGCAGTAGGGGGCCTAATAGGGGCCTCGTGTCTGGCGCGAGTCGGATGGGCTGCGTGGGAAGGGCGGGTGGAAACGATGCTTGCCGATGAGGTGGAGGTGATGCAGTTGCAGGGTGCGTGAACGGCGGGCAGTGGACTGAGATTCGATGCGACGTGGAGACGCTGTTCTCGAGGGCACGTCCGAGTGATTTTTTGAATGCCCCTGAGGACCACTAAGACTTCGTGCAGTGTACACGCCTGTTCAATCAGGCTTGCTGGTTTTGTTCGTCGCTCACATGGCTGTCGCTCACATGGCTGTCGTGCAGCATCGCGCGCACTGCATCGAGCACACACCGACAGAGTGCATTCGATGCACACGACGACGTCGAAGGGATGCCTCTCCACACAGACCTCTCCATGGACGCATTTTCACGGAGAGGGGGGAATTCGGGACTCGCGAAGCTTGCTGAGCGTGGCACGCTCTTACGAAACAAAGTGTTTCTTTGTTTGTTTGTCCGTAATATGGGCCAAGCTAGCACTTCCTTCGGTTCCCTTGTGGGGGCTTGCATGCGAGCTTGGGGGCTTTGGATGCATTTCGGGGAACGGCGAAAGCGTACGCGAGTCCCGCCAGCCCGACAGAGGAGGGAAACTTCATGAAGGAATGAATGAATGAACGAGATCGCGCCCCCCTCTCGCCGATCAACTCGCGGGGGGCGGGAAGTGCTGTTCTACTGCTGTTCTTCAGTTTTCTTTCCTCCTTGCTTGTCATGTTCAACTTGTGGTGATGCGGAGGCTCTTCAACAGGGTGACACTGTGAAAGATGGACGCAGTTGATGAAAGAAGGACGCACAACGAAGCCACAAAGGCCATCTACAAGGTAACACCACCACCAGTGCCACTGCCACCAAAGCAGATCGCCTGAGGCGTTTGTGGCCTTGCTGCCTGTTGCATGCAGGCCATTCGGCTGCAGGGCTGGTCCGGCCTCCGAGTGGTAAGAGGGGCGGGTGAACAGGGCATGACTCGACAACGGAGAACGGAGGATCCGCCTCACTCCGCGTTGAATTCTTTCGTCTGTGATTTCTCGGTGTGCAGCCTCGAGAGCTGCACGTCGGTCTCTATGCGTTTGTCAATCCCTTATGGTGCCTCAAGCCGCCCCTGCCCTCCCCACTCAGCGGCATCGTGCTGCAGCACCACACCGAGCTCGTCATCGACTACACCCACACACGGCAGAGAACCTTCTGGGAGACGATGTCCCCGCAGACCGCGTACGAGCTCGGCCAGCAGATGATCAACCTCAAATGTCTCATTCGCCGCTTCCCGCGGACACCTGATGGGGCAGAAGGGTTGGAGGCTGGCTTGCATTATGCCGCAGCTGGATGGTGCCGTGGCATCGTTGTCGCACTTGTGGAGGGCCATGTGATGGGACGCCAACTGGCGAGAGACAAGGAGGGTCCGCTTACCACAATGTCCGAGGGGTCGCTCAAGTCACTGGCCTTCGAACCGGTGCCAGTTCGGGACATCGGCTTACAGGAGATCCGGCGCCTTGATAAGATCAGGTCTGAGCCTCCTGCTGTCGACCCTTTGCAATCCATCAACTTGCCGGCCCTCACGGAAGTCAAAGGTGTCAACCACAAAGGCGTCAACCCTCGCTCTATGATTGATGGGCGGGGATGGGCCATCCCAGCCCTCCAGCGCGTGAGAGATGAATGCACGGTCGAGATGGAGCACGTTAAGCCATTCATCACCACAACGAGGTGCCTTGTCAAAATGAGAGTGCCCAGCCTAACGCCACCCCAGATGGCTGAGCTGCTGGATTGCATCCCTCTGGAGCAGCGCGGGGCAGCTGGATTGCACTGCAGCCCTCTCGCAAAGCTTCGGATGGTCAGCTCCATCAAGCTCTACGGCATCGAAGTGACTGAGATCAGAGATGGCATCCGTGATTTGCAGGTGCCACAGAATGGAAGGACACAGAAAGCGGGGGGTAGGGGCCACGACATTGCCATCCTTTGCCTCGATTGTGTTCTGATTCCAGAAGTGTTTGATTGATCGAGGCTGCTGGAAGTCTCTCAACCTCCTGTCAATAGAGGTGCATCGAAGCGACTGCCATTCGACTCTCCTCAACGATTACGCGACATTCAAGGTCCTGGCTAAATTTGTCGACGCCATCTGCTCGCCACTGGCTACATTGCACTTTACTGTCCACTCATCGTCCGCCGAAGACCGAGACATCCCTCTCACCATGTCCCTGAACAAGCTGCTGGCTTACACTCTCTTCGACTTCGGCAAGCTGCCCGCCTGCAGCCTCCACCTCCTCAATGCTGCGCTGCAGATGTACAATCTGCGAGTTGAGTCAGAGAGCCTCCCCATAAACTTCAGTCCCTTTACCAAGAGCGCCGGCGACGTCCAATGGAGTCCGACATGCCACTACGTGTGGACGATCACACCCGACCAACTGGACCGATCGCAGGGAGCATCCGATGACAGCGACAAGGCCAGAATGAACGAGCTGGTCCTCGAATGGCTTGGGCGGCCTTCATCGTCCACGCGAGCCAACTCTACCGACAGACATTCAACGGGATTCAGCATATCCATCGAGTGTGCCGATGGCTGGGCCCCGCCAGCCGACGCCAGGCCCCCTGAGCCCCCGGAACTGAACGCCTTCAAGCCTGAGGGACTCAACCTCGTGAAAAACCTCACAGTGAAGAGCCGTATTGGATTGGGTGTGGCCAAGGCGGTGGTGGGAAAAGGAGCGCGCCTCGAGAAGCTGCGGCTGATGCACATGACCGGGACTGACGTGCTTGGCCTGCTCGATCGCATCAATGAGTTCAAGATGCCCCGAGAGGTGACTCTGGAGTCTTTCATGCCAGACGATGGACGGCAGGCCAGTCAGCTGCCCGTCAAGCTGAAGGGTCAACGGGTTAAGACGCTACTTGTCAAGGGGGAGCTTGCCATGCGGCTTGTCGCCACCATGAGACCCCACATGCCGATGCTGGAGATGCTGATTGTGTACGGGGATGAGGGGCAAGTGCGCGAGGCGCTCGTCAACGCAGGCCCCGGGGTGCCCAACCGGCTGTGTCTGGGCTTCACATCTGAGGGCCGCCATGAGTTCATCAAGGCCGAGGACGAGAGGGAAGGGATCACATTGGGCGATTGGAAGGACCGAATGCCCAGCATCCGCAGCGTACTTGTCCATCTAGACGGTAAGCAACACAATGCCCTCATCATGCCGCATTACTCTGTTATACGTGTCTCTGTGTCTCCATGTCTGCCCCCGTTCAGTGCCGTCTGCCAACGTTGCTGACGCTGGCATCTTCATTCTGTCGTCCATCTGGTCGCTGCTCGAAATGGATGCGAACGCCCTGACAGTGGTCCTGCCCGATAGCCCCGATGTCTCATCTCACCTGCGTGGCGTCCAGATGGCCATGGAGCGCCGATTCGGCCAGACCCTTGGTACAGTGATGGCTGCCGAAAAGCGCTTTGTTCTGACGACTGACGACATTCAGGCAGTAAGGAGAGAGAGAGAGAGATCCGAATCGACCTACGGCAGACCATTCCTCTCCTTTTCGTGTTTCAGTTTGATGATCCAGATGCGCAAGGCCGTGTTCGCGCACTCCTCGGCCGCCGACACTCTCAAAGCCGTGCTGGAGGCAAATCAACAACATACGATGCCGAAGGGGTTGACCCTCAAGCGGCTGTCCTCAATGCTCAATCGGTACTTTCCCTCACTCGACAGCAACACTGCAGTCGAGGCGCTTGCCAGCGACTTCGCCGGCCGCATGAGTGCTGCTGCCCTCATGACTGTCGTCGACCCCCCGTATGCTCCTCGACGGCTGAAGGCACCACTCATGGCGGCCATGCAGCGACACGGTCTGGCGATGGAGCCTATGCTCAAGCTGTATGGTGATGGGCCGTGCATCCCCAGTCCCTCTGTGATCACATCCGCCGCTCAGCTGATGGCCATACTGCAGACGACGGGCAAAGACATTACAGGCACCCAACTGCTCTACAAGTAAAAGATACACCAACTGTGGGTCTGCCATATTCTTTTCATTTCCTGCAGGGCGTCTGAGCACGGTTATGGGTTCGCCGACATGCTCAATCATGTGGACGATGCGGGCCGCTTGCTGATCCTTATCCGAGCGGCGAATGGCTCCGTTAACGGCTGCTTCATCAGCGGCAGCCTGCTACCGCCCCCCCAGCTGCCAGATGCGCCCACCTTCAACCAGTATTCGGTAGGCGCCCTCGTCTTCAAGGCCTCCGGTCCCTCACAGCCCGTCTTCCAATCCGCATCCCTCACGTTGCAGTATGTCACGGTCTCACGACCGACCATATTGACCGAGACCAAGCTATTGGTGGGGCCGCCGGTCACACGCGGGGCGCGCATCGAAGAAGGGCTGGGGCTGTGGGCGCCTGATCCAGCGCCGGCACAGGGGTTGGTTCCAGAGCGGTGCCAGGTGCAGGTCATGTGGGGGAGGCGGACGGAATCAATGCTTGCCGATGAGATCGAGGTGATGCGTCTGCAGACAGGACCGTGAAGGGGGGGCAGTGGCGTGGATGTGATGTGATGCAATCTGGAGACACATCCATTCCGAACAAGGAAGGACGCTATCGTCGAGGGCACGAGTGATGTCTCATCGACAGTGGATGCAATTTGAATGTTCCTGAGGGCCATTCAGGTTTCGTGCACTGTTTTTGATAGTCATTGGTGTGAGCGAGAAGTTATGTCATCCGTACATCCAGACCGTACAAACAAAGCTGTCCTCCTGAACCCACGAAAGATATGAGACTCGACCCCACCCTTCACTGTCACGCTTCACCGGACCACACAATGCAACAAGTGTAACATCGCCCCGCCCCATTCACGCCTCTGTCTGCAAGTGTAGCACTTCCATCTCATCGGCAAACAGCGACTCAAGCCTCCCCTCCCAGAAAGCCCATCCGACTCGCACCAGACATAGCCCTTCCACCGCAGATTCCCAGAGCCACAGTCTGTCCATCCCGTGCCCGCCGACCACAAGCTGAGCACCTACCGCCGTATTGATGGCTTGCTTGACAATGACGTGCGTCGGCGTCAAGGATGACGGAAAGGTACGATGTCCATGCTCAGACGCCTTGCAACAAGTCACTTAAGAAACGGAAAGGAGGAGAAGTTTTACATAGAGAAAATGGCAGACCCACTGTCGCTGTCTTCCTCACTTGTAGAGAAACACCTCTATCTCATCGGCAAGAATTGCATTGATGTCTTCCTCACCATCTCCCACCCCCCTCTCCCAGCTCACTCGCACGACGCATCCCTCCGATGCCGACCAGCCCAGCGTGTCCGGTGCCCACAGCCCCAGCCACTCCGGTATACATGGATCGCTCGCATCCTTGCCCACAGTCAGTTTGGCCTCCACGCCATGGGGATGGTTATCTGCTCGCGACAGAGTGACCCACTTCGACGTCACTGAAGATGTCTGGAAGGTGGGCTGTGAATGGCCGGATGCTTTGAAGATCAGGACTTCCGCCGGATACTGCTTGAAGGCGGCTGAAGATGAAACTGACGGTGGCGGACGGAGATCGGCATTGATGAAGCACCCATGAATGAAGGCATTCATGCGGGTGAGGAAGAGGAGACCGCTCGCATCACCCACGCGACTGAGCATGTCGGTGTACGCAAACCCGTGCACACTCGCTCTGCCACCACACCAGACATAGGACGAAAACAACAAGAGAGGATTACACGCAGCACCCGACAGATGCATCTTTCGTGTCTCTCTTACTTGTAGAGCAGTTGGATGCCTGTAATGTCTTTGCCCGTCTTCCGTAATACAGCCACCAGCTGAGCGGCGGATGCGATCACAGAGGGACTGGGGATGCCCGGCCCGTCGCCATGCAGCCGCATCATGGGCTCCATCGCCAGGCCGTGTCTCTCCATCGCAGCCATCAGTGGCGCCTTCAGCCGTCGGGGAGCATACGGGGGGTCGACCACACTCATGGGCGTGGCGGCACACATGCGGCCGGCGAAGTCACTGGCGAGTGCCACAGCTGCGATGTTGGCATCGTGTGAGGGAAGGTAATACTCAAAAATCGAAGACAGCCGCTTCACGGTGGCCGCCAGACTGGTGATCATCGTCAGGCTTTGATGGGGGTCTCCTGTTTTTATCAGCGCCTCGAGGAATCCGATGTCGGCCCTCAACGAGTAGGCAAACGCCGCCTTGTTCAACTGAGGTCACAGAAACACATGCCTTGTGCGCTGGGTTTCTTCTGAGCTTACAGGAGTCTCTTCTCACCTTCTTGATGTCTTCAAATGAAAGGATCAGGCTGCTTGTGGTGACGAGGCCCCTCTCCTGTCGATCAGGCCCAAACCGCCGCTTCAGAGCTGCCTTGAGCTCATCCAGATGGGAGCGCTGGCGCAGGACGACTGTCAGCTCGGAGATGGACTCAATCTCGAGGACCGACCAGATGCTCGACAGAATGAAGGCGCCCGGATCGACAACATCAGCAGGCGGCACTGATATCAGCGAGACACGGTGACAGAGAGGCGTCATACAGATACACAAGTGGTGCATTGTTGGTCTTGACATCTGTTCGCCACTTACCGTCTAGGTACATGAGCAGGCTGTTGATGTGGGGCAGTTGGTCGCTCCAATCGCCCAGTGTGATGCCCTCGCTCTCGTCGGCAGCCCTGATGAACTCGCGGCCGCCCTCATGCACAAATCTCAAAGACAGCTGGGCGATCGCCCCACGTCCCCCGTCCACGAGCAGCTGACGCATCTCTGTCTCGCCGCCGGACATGGTGAGGGTGCCCAGCGATGGCATATGGTGTCTCAGGGTGGCCGCAAGCCGCAAAGCGAAGTCTCCCTTGGCCGTGAGCTCCTTCACCCCGTGCAGCTTCTTGTTGACGATCAGCTCATATGCGCTGTCCAGCTGGGTGGGCCCCTCTTGAATTTGTCCATCTTGTGCCCGCAGGGAGTCAAGCTTCAGCTTCTGCGGCATCTGCAGCAGGGGAATTCCCCCCAACAGAGCCAGCACGTCCATCATGCCCATCTCCATCAGCTCCAGGCTCTCCAAGTGCGCGCCCTTGCTGAGGATCGTCTTGGCCACTCCCAGGCCGATGCGATGCTTGACGATCAGAGCCTTCACCCCCTCAAGTCCAGATGGGCTGAGTGCTTCCAGCTCCGGAGGCTCAGGCGGGATGGCATCCGCTGGCGGAGCGAAACCCTCAGCGCACTCGATGGATATGCTGCAGACCACGCCGTCGATCTCATGCCGGTCGAACATCAGCTCGTCCATCAGACTGAGGTCGATGGGCCCGTTCTGTGGTCTGGCAACTTGGTCTTCTGTGACTGTCCACACGTAGCTGTAAGTAGAAGGCGATGTTGTATCGATGTAGCTCTGGACAGAAGGACAATCGGGGGGAATCTCAGGCCAGATGCGCAGGTCGTAGCACGTTAGCAAGGCGCTGAGGATTGGCAGACCGCAGCTAGGCACCTTTCCAAAACTCGTGTAGGCTAGAAGGTGGGCGAGAGGAATGTCTCGCACATCGTCGTCGGCAGAAATGCAAGCTTCGAAGACGACACGGCCAGATGGCGAGCATGTCGCGTCGACCAGCGAGGTGAGGGCCTTGAACGTCTCATAGTCGTTGAGGAGGAGTGAATGAGCGTCGCTGCGATCCACGCGGAAAGCGAGAAGATCGAGAGACTTCGAGCAGCCGCGTTCCACCAGAGACTTCTGCAAAGCGGAGCAATAAGATGCCCTTTTCCTTTTTTACATCTTACGCGGCTACTTTGCTTTTTGACCCACCTGCATGTCTCGTATGCCGTTCCTGAGATCTGCCGATTCAATTCCATAGAGTTTGATGCTACCAATCACCCGGAGATACGCAAGATGCCCCGTACTTTCCGGCTCCATCCCTGGCAGGATGCATCCTAGCAGCGTCACCAGCTGCGATGGCGCCATGGGGTGCATCGCACTCAGTTCGACAAGTGACCGGGTCACCATGACAAACGGCCAAAGATTTGCCACATTGTCTGTGTTCACCCGAGATAAGCACTGGAGGGCTGTCATAGCCCAGTTCCGCTCTTTGATCACGGACTGGGTGTAGGGGTCGCCGCTGTGAATGACTCCGATAACATCTGTGAGAGCCGGAAGGTCGACAAACCGAGAAGGGGCAGCAGCAAGAGCGGCAGAATTGATAATACGGTGAAGCCGCGCAGCCTCTTGGCGCCCAAGGGTCGAAATCACCACCCCCTGAAAGACCAAAGACTGTAACGACCCCTCTTTCATAGTTGTGGCCGATCCCTCCTCCTCGCGAGCTGCCTGTCGTCCCTTAACATGCCCCTCCACGAGTCCAATGACAATCCCGAGGCACCATCCATATGCGGGAACATATTGGCCAGCTCGAAGCCCCTGTGCTCCGTCAGGTGTCTCTGGGAAGCGATGGATGAGACATCTGAGGTTGATCATCTGTTTCCCGAGCTCGTACGCCGTCTGCGGCGCCATCGACTCCCAAAAGGTTCTCTGGCGTCTGTTGCTGTAGTCGATGACGACCTCGGTGTGGTACTGCAGAACGGCTCCGCTGAGTGGGGAGGGCAGGGGCGGCTTGAGGCACCACACGGGATTGACAAACGCATACACACCGACCTGAAGCTCTCGAGGCTGCACACAGGGACGAAATTGAACAGTTACAGTATGGTGTTGAATCCTGAGTTTGTCCATGCATGCTTACCAGACGGAGCCCGGACCATCCCTGCAGCCGGATGGCCTGCACGCGTGAATGCAGAGGAGCACAGATTCTTCGTGATACAAGTGAATCGTCGTCTATTACTCTGAACACAGCGGCGGTTGCTTCGTTATCGGCCGGACACCCAGATGCAATGTTGCCATCACCCTTCGAGGACGAGGAACCCCGGGCTGCCCTCCTGATGGGGGCGTTCCCTATCTTGCGATTACTCCGTCTCATCTGTACGACAACAACATCCGTGACTCAATTTCGCCGTGTCCTCCTTTCGCTCATTCATTCGGCGTCGCTTACCTGGGGAGGGAGAGTCCCTTGGCCTTCACAGCGGTAGACCACCTCCCTCACTGACGACGATGGTGGCGAGGATGGTGCAAAGAGTGGCGACGGTGCTACGGGGAGTTCTTCTGTCCGAACACTTGATGATCCACCCGGTCCATCGCCATCCTCCGAGGGTGACAATAATGACGAGTCTGATCTCTGTGGAGCGATTGGGGCATTCTTTACCTTTCAAGAGCGCGATTTGGCCAAAGGAGGCACGCTTCTCGATCGGCGAGACGGCAGCGCGATCGTCGGAGGCCTGACTCAGAGTGGGTTTTCGGATGGCCTTGTCCATCTCAGGCAAGGCAGCAGGCCGGCCGAAGGCACAGCAACCTAAAGGCAAAGCGAAAGCAGCCACCAAAGGCCAGCAACCATCGGCCCCAACACGCAAGAAGAAACCACCACGAGTAGCGGAGGAGCCGCAGCCTGCCGCTGTAAGTGAGTCCCCCGGCCCGCCCGCACAGCCTTGTAATGCGTCCGAGTCGGCCCCACCGGAGAAGGGCACTGTGACTGTCAAGTTTCTCCACTACACCAAGCCATTCGACATCGACCGGGGGCGGCTGGCGATGTCAAGGCTGGACGAGGAGTTCGGCATCAGACTGGCCTTTGGCGAGAACGCTGCTATCACGATGGAAGACGGACAGGGCCAACAAGTAGAAAAATCACAAGACGGTGAGTCAGACTGGTTTGAGGGGCTTGAAGCGAACGGCACTTATGTTCTGCAAGTGGAGGAAGATCCGGCGCAGGCCGACAGGCCGAGCAAGACGTATGAGGCGCCTTCTGTGGAGACGTGTCCGCTTAAGAAGAGCGCTAAGGTGGCTGACATCACAAGGGAGCTGCAGGGCATGTCTGTGGAAGAGATACGTGAGAAGGGAGACAAGTACAGGGAGCTGGTGGAAGCGAGAGACCTGGAAGACACCCTCTTCTCATGACAGACTCTGTGCTGTGACGGTCAAATGCAGTGCTGGCCAAAGTATATGCATGACGCGACACGGAGCCTATGATACCGACTACATACAAAACAAACATATCCGCAAACCTGTTGTCGAATATTGCTTTCGCCACGGTATGCAACTTGGCTCCGTCAACAGTGGTAGACTCATCACTTGACTTCAAACAAAGTTCATCATCGCAACGCAGGCCGTCCCACCGCAGCGGCGCACACACACATGTCGCTGCGTCGAAAAAACCCTTCGCACAGCAGCAGGAGACAGACCCCTTGGCGGGTCGACGTCCATGCGCACATGCATCACGCGTACGTGGCGGCCACGTCACATCACATCATAACACAACACAACACGCACACAGTGTCATTCAGATTGCAAGAAGGACAAGAGAAGCGAGATCACACGGTGTCACGCACACACACACACACACTTCACACGCACACACAGTGGATGTGACGTGGATGTGGTGTAAGTATTACGTATTATGCAGTTCGTCCGTCATGCCCTGTGGATGGGGTGATTGGTGTCCACGGATGTGGCTGTGCACCCACCACAGTGTCACGCTCAGTAGGTGGATCCCATGGGTGCGACGGAGGCCTTGTCGGTGAAGGTGTCCTGCACTGAGGGCGGCACTCCCATGGCCATGTCGGGCTGCGCCACGCCAGGGGCCATCCCTCCCGTCACGGCAGCCATCCCACCCTCCGCATGGGGGGGCACCATCTTGGGCGCCACGTCGGTCTTCGGCTGCACACACACCACAGGCACACAGAGAGAGACAGAGACACCAGAGAGGGATCCATGGTTGGTGTGATGACGGATAACGGACGGACACATGTGCAGTGAGTGCATGTGTGAATGGATGGATGGATGGATGGGGTGATGAGGGAGGGTGTTCAGAAAATGGGGTTTGGCTATCTGGCGTGTGTGTCGTCAGAGGTGCACCTCAGACTGGGGCGACGCCACTCATCACTACCCCCCTCTTTACCTCCCTCCCTCCCTCCCTCCCTCTCTCCCTGTGATGTGAGTGGGTCTGGTCTGTGGCCGTGTGCGCTTCGCTTGACTTACCTCCTGGACTTCGATCTTGTCTGGCACCGGTGTCTTGGGTCCCTGCTTGCCCTCGGGGTCGTGCGGCAGCATGATCTTGACCTTGATGCCCAGGATGCCCTGGCGCATCAGCACCGAGCGCACCGCAGTGTCGATGTACTCGCGGGACGGCTCCCCGGTCGCCAACATGTACCTGCCAGGCCACCCAGGAGGCATTGCGTTCTGGTCGGTGGGTTTGTTGGACTGACTTATTGACCTTAGTTACCCGTCTCTGAACTTCATGCTCTTGGCTCGCTGAGCCCTCAGTTTGCCGCTGACGACGACCTCGCAGCCCTTGGCGCCGTTCTCCATGATGTAGCGGAGGACGCCGTAGCAGGCTCGGCGGACGGCCAGACCGCCCAGCAGCTTGTAGCGGAGCGACTCGGCCTGAGCCTGCAACATATACCAGTGAATGACACACCATTGTGTGGTGCACTCGTGTCACGCACTGCCCTGCACTGCATGTTGTGTGTGGGCTCCGAGGGTGTGGTACCATTGCGCAGAGGGCTCTGTTGTCGACGCGCTCGGCGAAGAGCTCCACCGAATTCTCCGGGAAGTTGAAGCGCTTCTGGACCTGCACACACACACACACACACACAGAGAGAGAGAGAGAGAGAGAGATACATATAGATGCATGACCTCTGTCTGCCTGCTGTGGGAGTGGGAGTGTGTGTTGTGTTAAAAAGCTTGCTGGCCCACCATGGAGGTCAGTTCGCGGATTCGTCTGCCCTTCTCGCCCAGCACCTCACGAGTGCGGGTGGCGCGGATGATGATCTCAGTCCTGAAACACACACACACACACACACACACACTCTCACACACACGCGGGAATGGCCAGCCTGTCGTGTCGCCCGTCCGCCCTGTGTCGTGTGTGGTGGTGTTCGTGGGAGAGTGTTGTGACGGCCGTACCTGATGGGCGTGACTCGGACCTCCACCCCCGAGTATCCGTCCTCGGCGAGCATACGAGTGAGGAACTCATTCAGCTCGGCATAGAACACGCCGTCAGCCACAAACTTGCGCTTCTTCGACACCTGCGTGACACACACCAGGACAGACACCACACAAGAATCAACCCGGATGTGACGCGACAGACAGACACACACACACAGTGCCATGCCACACACGACGGAACGTGCCCGCCGCTCTGTTCGCCTCCCTCCGTCCACCCCAACACAGATCTTGCTGTTTCTTGCCCTTCCCGCCTATGTACCTGCGACGCCGCCATGCTGACACTAAGAGCACAGCTCCTCCTTGACGCTCTCGCTCTCGCCACGAAAGATGCGAGCTTAGATGCCACTTCAAAAGCTCGCAAATTTGCACACAACGATCTTTGTCAGCGGATGGCGCTATCTCTGTGCATTCTGAGGCTGCCGTGCCGCCTCGTCCAGTTCCTTGGTCTCTCGCTGCTCGTCTGCCTCCTCTCATATGCAGATGCCTTTCAGCCGCAGAGGCGGCCGCACAGCGCCTTCCTGACGCGGCCGGCCAGTGGCGCTGCTCGCGATGATGTGCGGCGGCTGCTCAGGGGCAGAGAGGCGGGCAGATCTGTGTCAACGTCCTCTTCTGGTCCTGCCTCTTCTGTGGTGAGGCATGCTGGTCCCTCCGTGGCTGCAGCGCCTGTTGGCTCGCTTCAGGAGGCCAAGAAAATGGTGAGCACACGGGAATTTCCCTGTCTGATGGATGTGGTGTTTCTCTCACTGTCTGTCTGCCCGTCTGTCTGTCTGTCTGTCTGGCTCTGGTTGGTGTGTCAATGGATCAGATCTACGCGTATGTGGCTGAGAATGGGGGACCCTCAACGTCGGCCATCGACGCCGCCGCGATGGAGAACTTCATGGTGAGAGGCCTCTCATTCAATGGCCTGTCACTCATTCATTGATTCATCTGTGTGTGTGTGCGTGTGTGTGTGTGTGTGTGTGTGTTTCAGGGTTTTGTGGACAAGTACACTGCTGAGGTGGAGAAGAGCGGCACGCTGGACCCCAAGGAATACCTCTACATCATGACGTACTCACATGCACACACACGAGCAGATTGCCGAGCGACCGACGTGGGCGGCATGCTTTGCGTGTCGACTGCTCCATCCATGGTCAGGTCTGTGTTGAAGGCTTCGCGTGATATGGCCGGCTATGAGTTCGAGCCTTACCACACCGCCATCAGGCAGCCCCTGGACCTTTACAAGCTTGGTCAGCCGCGGCCATGGCCGCAAAGCCACCGCTGCTGCTTGTTGATGGTGCTGGCGATTTGTCAAACTTGTCAGGCAACGATCTGTTCAGGCCGCTTGTGGATCTAGAAAAGTCGAAGGTGACCACACATCCACAGAAACCACACCACACGCGTGAGAGGAGTCGTCCATAGGTTTGTCTGTCTGTCTACGTGGCTTGATCGGTGTCTGTCAGCTCGAGGGAGTTGATCAGCTGCAGAGAGTACGTGAGCTGCTCGACAAGGGCGAGAATGTCATATTTCTGTCGAACCACCAGTCGGAGGCCGACCCGCAGGTAGCAACGCACATCTCACCTCACACACAGGCGGTGATGTCTGTCTGTCGTGTCGATGTGTGTGGCGGTCAGCTGATGAGTCTTTTGTTTGAGCACTTGGGTTTTCCTGAGCTGGGGGAGAAGATCGTGTGTGTCGCGGGACACAGGTACGGTAGCGAGCATAGAGCCGCGCTGCGCGTGGTGTGTGTATGGCGACTGACTGCCTTGCTTGCCTCAGGGTGACGTCAGACCCCCTGACGATTCCCTTTTCGATGGGCCGCAACCTGCTGTGCATCAACTCGAAGCGGCATCTCGACAACCCGCCAGAGCTCAAAGAGGAGAAACAGAGGCAAAACATCGTTTCCATGCAGGCGCTCTCGGTCAGCCAGCCGGCCGATCAGATCAACAAACACGTGTTCTTTCCATTACACGTCGTGTATGCGTGTGTGCAGGAGCTGTTGGCCAAGGGCGGCTTCTTGCTATGGGTGGCGCCCAGCGGTGGTCGTGACCGGCCGGATGAGAATGGCGAGTTTGTTGTGGCGCCGTTCGACCCAAAGGCTGTGCAGATGTTCAACGTTCTTGCCAAAAAGGTGACTGACCAGAGAGATGAGACAAGATTTGTAAGGGCAACCTCATTCACGCACGGCTCGTGTGACCGTTGTCAGGCCCGGACGCCCACTCACTTCTTCCCAGTGTCGCTGTGGTGCCATCCCGTCCTGCCCCCACCCACAACGGTCAGCACAGACACACATGCGATGCGCTCGAGGATGCGTTTGCTCAGTCTGTCCGTCTGCCTGCCTTGTCGTGTGCTGTGCTGTGCTGTGCTGTGCAGGTGTCGAAGGAGTTGGGTGAGGTCCGGACGGTGCAGCGGTCTCCCGTCGGCATGGCCGTCCTACCTGAGCTTGAATCGCCAACAGGTACACACACACACACACACAGTACTCACACGGCCACAGTGGGACAAGGTTGCCCTCTCCCTGGTCTCTCTCTTTCTCTGTCTGTCTGTATGCAGCCGAGAAGGCGAGCCGCAACCACGCGACTGAGGTGGCGCAGCAGCAGGTGGAGGAGGCCTATCAGCGTATCAGATGTGACAAGTGACCCGGGCAGGGCATGACTGGGGCTGGTTGGTTGGTCGAGGGAGGGATGGCTTCTTGACGAGGGAGGCGCGAAATGAGTGAAGCCAACGAGGTGGCATGGTGCCAGTCAGTCAGTGGGCTGCGCCCCCTTTTCGCTTCCGTGTAGCGCTCACACGGATGGATGGATGGATACATTGGTGTGCATGTGTGTCGATTTTGGACCGAGAGAGCTATCTATCTGTGAGTGGGGTGGGCAGGTTTTGTCTCCAGGGGCTGTCAGTCAGTGTACTCCCACCCTCTTGATGACTGTGTTTGTTCTGTGTTGGCCCACCCTTCCAGGTCTAACGAAACAAACAACATGACATGCATCCCGACGCATCAAACAAAAAGAAAGCAGCCAGCCAGCCCCATTAACGAACGCTGTCCGTGCAAATGCGAAAAACTCTGGTCTGTCGTGGGAGTGTCTCTCTGCGGATGTGGTGCGTTGCTCCGTCTCATGTCTCTCACTCTCTCTCTCTCTAGAAAACTCGCGCAGCCATCCGGACAGACACTCATACAGTCAGGCACCTGATGAGCTGTGTCATTCAAAACCGAAGGTCGTCTGTCAGTTGTGTTGGTTGTGTGTCATGCACTGTGAAGTGTGTAGCTTGAGCTCACTCCTCCTTCCCTTCAGAAGGTGTGACTGTGGACTTGGTGCGGTCCGTGGCCGTCGTCAGGAAGGAGAGCTTCTGTTCCCCAACTACACACGCGCACACGACACGGAAGACGACACAGAGAGAGATCGAAGCATTGGCACACGCCTTCGTCATCGAGGGACGAGGAGCGGCATGTGATCGATCCGTCTCACCTTTGTGTTTGTCCGCGACCTTGTTGTCGGGGTGGCCGGGGAACAACTTGGTCACGACGAGGCGCTCGGTGGATCGGTCGTACTGCTCCGACTTGAAGTTCCCACCCTTGAAGGAGTACATGAGGTGAGAATGAGGCCCGAGAGCAAACTCCTGGATACGCACATTAATGCATTCATGCGTGTGGAGTGGTGGGTCCATTCTCACGCACTCACCACGTGTTTGGCCATGCAGAAAAGCTTCCCTCCCGCAAGGGTCTTCATGATGCCATGCGTCTTGCATGTCTTTTTGGCCTTCTGCGTTGGGGTGCATTTGCCAATAGCCTTGTCGTTGGGACCAGCGTCCTGGTAGGAACCGATATGAAACACAGGGTCTGCAGGGGTATCCAACGACTGCAGACTCATCCACGGAGCTGATCGTGGTGCCCGTGATGGCACTGAGGCCCTCCTCTGCTTTGTCGATGGCGTCCATGGCTGAGGCAGCCAGCGAGCTGCTCGACTGGAGCAGCAGCTGCACCATGGACAACTCACCAGCTGCACACACACAAAAGACCATCATGTGTGTGCTGCATGACTTGTGTGGGGGTGGTTGTGCTTCGTGTCCTGCGTGTACGCTGGCGGCCTGCGGTGCTGTTGATGAGCTTAAAGGAAGCCTGGCCACCGCCAACCTATGTGGTGGGAATGATGCGATGCGATGCAATGAATCCGTCATGCGTGATGCCGGAGATGCCAAGAGACGACGTGCAGTGTGCATGCCGACCGTACCGTCAGTGGCCTTAACGGCGCTGGGGGCGATGAGGCCACAGAGGGCCACCACAAACAGACAGGCCTTGGACATTATGCCTGCAAAGCGTTTTCAGCGTCCGTGCGATCATGAGACGCCCCCACCTCTCTCAGAAATGTCGGCTGAGCGTGTTCAAGGTTGTTGACCTACTTCATTCAACGGCGCATGCTAGCGCTGCAGATAGATGAAGTAAGGGCGATGGTCTGTCTAACCGCTTCACAAGACGTACACGACACGACACGACACGAAATACACACCTGCAAGCATCCCTCACCTCACAGTGCCGTCCGTCCACCTGAGGACAATCCACACTCACACGCACCACACATCACATCACATCACATCACATCACATGCAATGACATTGCTGATATCCACATCCATCCATCCCACGCCTCCCTCGTCCACCACTGCACTCACTGCGTCACATCACAATCACAGCACGTCCGTCCGACAAAACCATTCCATACCCAATTGCACCCCCATATATAACACACATTCACCAAACACCTCTCAGGTCTTCCCTCCACTCTCCCCTCCCCTCTCCCCTCCCTCCGCTGCCCATGCCTCTCCCCGTTGCGCGAGGCATGGGTTGGGGTCCGGACAACGCCGCTTGCTCTCCCTCTCAACGGTCGACACATCACCACCCTCCTCCTCCTCACCACCCTCCTCCTCCTCAGTCGCCTCTGCTCTCCCTTGTGGCTGCTCGGCAGCTGAGGCGCCCGCATGGGACACCGGGACGCTTGAATGGTCGGTTGGCCTGCTGCCGCTCCGAGGTGGCTCGTTCTGAAAGCAATGGGGGACAAACAGGTGGGTGTCATGGTGGGTCTGGCAGTGGCTGCGTCGTGTTTGTGGTCTCAGGGACTGACCTTTCTGTATCTGCGGTACCAGCCCGTTTGGCTGTGGTGGGGCCCCATGGTGCGCGACCGCATCTCATCCGCCACAGCCTTGTACTCGGCGAAAGAGTGGCTCTGATATCAGACGACACACACACACACACACACACACAGAGAGAGAGAGAGAGGGAGAGGCCATGCAGACAGACACGGCCGTGTCGATGAGTGTACCTACCTTTCCGAGTTTGGCTCTGAGGTCGGTGTGGACCTGCAGCTTGGGGTGCAGCATACGGAAGAGGTGGCTCTTGACCGCACCCTTCTGCACCGGCGGATACCTGACATATATATATTGCAACATACAGAGGGAGGGACACAGACAGACAGTAGCCGGTCAGTCAGAGGGTCGGTGACGGCCGTGTGTCTGTCTCCATCACGCCAGCAGCTCGCTCACTTTTCGGCGAATGTGATGTACTCGGCCGCCAGGTCATCCACACTCACTGTGTTGCCCGAGAAGAGGGCAGGGTTCTCCAACAGACCCTCAGCTGACATAATCGCGTCAACCCTGACAACAACAACACACACACACACACACCCCACCCCATCAGACACATCGATGAATGAGTCTCTGCGTCTGCCTGTTCTGTGCCTGCCCACCCAGTCTGTTCCAGGCACTTGATGGCGTCATCGTAGGTCTCCACTCCCCCGTTGGCGATCACGGGTATGTCCATGCGGCCCTTGAGGATCTTGATGGCCTCCCAGTCTGCGATGCGGGTGTGGTGGCCCTTCTCCTCCTTGGTGCGCCCGTGGAGGCAGATGACGGAGCAGCCGGCGGCCTGCAGGTCGTATGCGAGGTTGAGGGTGTCCTGGAAGTTGTGGCTGTTGACTTTGCGGATCTTGCACGTCACGGGGCAGCTCAGGCCGTCGTGCAGCGTCGACACAATGCGTCTGCATCACGGCAGACACGAACGGGAGCACCAGATGCCAACCACCCACCGGATGCTCATCTACCTGAGAAGGTCATTCTCCTCCAGGAGGAAGGCGCCGTAGTGTCCTCTCTTGGCGATGTTCTGCGGGCAGCCGAGGTTGATGTCGACAGCGTCGAAGTCCTTCTCAGCCATCTTGGCCGCCGCCAGCAGGGTCTCAGGGTCGTCACCGCAGAACTGCACGAAGCACGGCTTGTCGGCCGGGTCGCTCTCATAGTTCTCCTTTTTGTATTTCTTAGGGTTCTCCACAAACAACCTGGAAGTGAGAGCAGACAAGAAGGCACATACATCAATCAGATCACCTGTGTCGAGTGCATCGAGTGCGTCCATCTGCCTTGTCTTGCGCTCTTGCGCCTCACCTACCGTGAATGCAGCATGGGCGTGTACGTCAGGTTGACGCCATGCTTCCGCGTCATCATCCTGGGGGGACAGCACACACGCAGCCGGGAGGGGAACGGCGAAAATGGCAGGCAACATTTGGTCGAGGAGCGTTCTATCTCTTCCATCTTGCCTGAAGGCCAGCTCGGACTGGTCCACCATAGGCGCGAGGACGAACTTTGGGCGTCCGATGGACTCCCAGAACGCGAAGCCTTCCAACTTCTCCTTTCGCTTCGGCTCCCCATCAGGGTGGCCATCGCCGTCCCCTCCCATAGTCCGTTTCAACCAAACCTCTCTCTCCACCCGCCAGGCCGCCTAGGGTGCTCCCTGAAACCGCGGTTATACGCCCTCGACCCTAGTCCACCACAGAGGACGGGTGCGGTTTTGGAGTGTTCCCGGAATGCGAATTGGAATGTGCCGAGAGCGGCTGGATAGGGAGAGCTGTCTTCTGGAGATAGCGCAGCTATCCCTCCCTCCATCCTGGATCCTCCTTACATCATCTCATCTCCTGAATCATCTGTAGGCATCTGCAGCGCTACACTTGTGCTTTAACTCTGACCCAGCTACTTCCCCTCGAGACTCAGACCCCTTGGCTGCTTGAATCGTCAACCATCTGTCGACATTACCGCAGTGCTGCATCTGTGTGTCAACCCCTTCCGAACTCCGTCTTGTTCTCCCGCGATGAAGGTGCTTCTGTGCCTTGTTGGTGCCCTCCTGGTGGCCGGTGCTGTGTGCGACCCGACACCCCTGCGCAAGCTGAGTCCTCAAGAGGCCACAGCCGTCACTGATCCGTCGAAGGTAATGAAATGGATGACCACCTGCCTGAGCTGCTGCTCTGTGTCTGCGCATATGCATGTGTGTGTCAACCTGTCTCTCCCCTGTTGTCTCCCTTGTGTCATTGTGTGTGCGTGCAGGTGGGTGACGACAATCCTGACCTGAGGGCTCTAGGCCCCGACGAACACCACGTCCCCCCGCCACCCAGTAACTACCACGCCCATGAAGAGGACTGTGATTGTTGGTGCGATGGGGGGTTGCCGGGATATGGCACCCACGGTGGCATGCGCACCTACAACTGTCCGTGCATGTGTCATTACGGACACGGGGGCAAAAAAACCTTCTGGGCGATGGGCTGTGACTGTTCATGTGACCATCACCACCACGAGGGTCGTCACACCCTCTACCACCCCTGTACCTGCACCTGCTATTAGTGTGTTGTGTAGCCTGTCGATGTCAGTCAGGAAGCGGAGCGAGACTAGCCACATGACGTCTGAGGTCCAACTGATCTGATCTGATCTGCTGTGCACGTTCCATCAATATAAGTAGCTCGTCTCTGCTTGCCTGTGGTTCGTCTTATGGCTCCCTGTGTGTGTGTCTGGCTGTTGTTGGTTGGGCGAGTAGTTTGATGAATGTCCCCCACCCCTCCCCCCCTCTCATGTTTCTTCAATGCACATCATGTTTTTCATGACATATTCGTGTCGTGGACTGACTGGTCGGTGGGTGGTTTGTCTGGGGTGTGTGGGCGGCACTCTCAGCACCCGTCGGTGTGTGTTGTGTCAGTCGTTCGTTATTTGTAGTAGAGTGCACGTTCACCCGAGCCTCACCGAGCTCTGAAATGATCTGTGTGACTGGCATGCTACTCCGTGTACATTAGTTAGTGTGAGGAGATGATGAGAAGGAGAAAGTGACGATTTGAGTGAGTGATTTTCGACTGAGATCGATTGCATGTGGGAGGGGGTGGGGGTGGGGAGGGGAGGGGAAGGGGGGACAAGTCCATCTGGCGGGTACACACATGGGATGGCACATGATGGGAGGGACGGGACGGGACGGAGATACTGACAAGGAGACGCCCCAACATCAATGGATCACTTAATGAAAACAAAATGTGCGAGCATGCGGTCGCTCGATGGTCACAGACAATCGCTACAACTACTGTCGACACATGTACCAGTCCTCCCCCTCCCCGCCCCCCCCCCCCCCCCCCCCCCACACACACACACACACGACAGCAGGGAGGCAGGGAGGCAGGGAGGCAGGGAGGCAGGGAGGCAGGCAGCAGGTCTCACTGACTTGGATGGACCCAGTGGATACCTACACATCGCTATCTGTGGTCTCTCTGTGCAGCCGGGCAGCCCCAGAGTGCCGGAGATGAACGAGAGGGTCTTGTCGTGCTCGGCTTTGAGGGCCTGGAAGGCCGCTGTGGCCTCGGGAGGGACGTGGCTGCAATGAGTTCGATATCTTCTAAGCTCGCAAATTTCGAATCTGTTCGGCAGGATGCCGCGTCCCTCTGCGCCATCGCAGAGCCACTTCAGCGAGAGGATCCGGCAACTGGTGAAGAAACTCGAAGACGATGGCCATGAGGTGCGAGATCTGACCGTAGAGCAGCTCATAGAGAAGATGTGCGACATTGAGGTGAGGATGGGATAGGCGCATTCTGGCACGCAGGAGAGGCATGCATGGCCCATCAGTCCGTTGGAATGGCCAAATTTTGCTCATTTGCCGTGGTGTTTTTGTGTATTTCCATCTCCCAGCAGCAGAAGGCGCAGGCTGCGCTTGAGAAGGAGCTCCAGGATAGCAGGAAGGTGTGGGAGGAGAGGCTCAAGAGCAACACCAACAGCAACCAGCAGCGCTGACCGACACACCCATCCACCCACAGCCATGGACGAGGACGACCCCTTCGCCGACTTGGATGACGTCTTCAACGACCAGAGCTCACAAGCCCCTCCACCGCCCCAGCAGCAGCAGCAGCAGTCCCAGCGAGCGGCTGATGGCGATGGTGACGGTGAGGGCAGGGATGAGCGTGAGCGGCGTCAGAAGCTGCAGCGTGACATATGTCGGGCCATTGGGCAGCTGGGGTTTCAGTTGCGGCCGCAGGCGGCCAATCAGATCTGCGCGGCGGTGAGAGCCGCCACTGACGAGGAGAGGGAGCAGATGCTGCAGAGATTCATCGAGAAACTGCAGGTCAGAAAAATGATATAATAAGTGGATGGCGGGATTGTGTCCATGGACCTCTCTCTCTCTGTGTGTGTGTGTGTGTGTGTGGATGTCAGGCGTATGTGCAGCGGCGTCGGCTGCAGAGTTCGACCATCGATGAGGCGGTGGCGCGGGAGATTTTGCAGCAGTGTGTGGGGTCGAGTGACGTCGGGAGCTTCCGCGAGCTGACGGCCCACCTGCCCAAGGACTGCCTTGCCGTCATCAACCTCTACAGAGATGTAGTCAAACACCAATTCGACAGCGGCACAAGGGTGACTGACACATGAGAGGAGCTAATTGGCTGGCTCATATCATTGTGTGTGTGTGTGTGTGTGTGTGTTTGTCAGACGTTCGTGCCGGCTCGTCGGCCTCCCTCGTTGTGTTCGGCCGCCGACAATCGCAACCAGCTCTTCCGGGACAGATATAACCTCATCAAATACGTCAGTCAGGCCAACAGACACAGACACAGGCACACCTGCACACACACACTCCTCTGAGCTGCTTTGAATGCTATGTGCAGCGGCTAGGACGGGACGAGCGGTTCCGCGACGCAATGGAGGTGGAGAGGCGGGGGCTGCTCCGCGCGTCCGGCGCAGACCCGTCGCTCGTCCTCACACCAGTAGAGGGACTTCTGGGCAACCCAGGTAATTGAGAAGGGGGACCTTCGTGCGGGCTGTGTGTGCCCTTATCTCTCTCTCTCTCTCTCTCTGTGTGTGTGTGTGTGTGTGTGTGTGGTGTCTTGTGTTGTGTTGTGTTTCGTTCGTCAGGCAGGAAGTTGACGTATGGCTTTCTGACTCGTCTGGAGGAGGACCGCTTCTTCCTTGAAGACCCGCACAGAAACATTCCACTCAACCTAGACAGGGTACGGTACAGCGAGCTGCCCAGATCCATCCATCCACCACGACGTGTGTGTGAACGTGTGTGTGGTGCGCAGGCGCACAGCATCGGTGGCTACATCATGGAGGAGAGCTTCGTGCTGGCCGAAGGAGAAGTCCACAACGGGGTGAGTGTAGTGGGTGGGCTGAGGGGGGGGGGGGGGGGG